CAATGGATGTAGTTAGATCTGTTGGGCACAGTTGGGCAGAGTTGCCCATCAGGAATCCACTATCAAAAACACTCCCTGTAAGCCAAATCAGCTAATTGGTATCAAAAGCACCCTCCTGTTGAACCTTAAACTTAAATCCACATGTAGTACCCAACAAATGCAGCTAAAAAAAGAAAACAAAAGTTTGTACCCAAAAATTTTTGAAATTTTTCATTTGCTAAATTAATACATGTAGTAACTGAACAAAAAAAAAAAAAAAAAAGGAGGGGGGAACGTTTTGAGGAAACTGGTGGGATATAAATAGGAGACGGGGAAGGAAAGAAAAAGAGAGGAGGAAAAAAAAAAGAAGAAAGAAAAGAGAAAAACAGAGAAGGAAGAGAGCGGGAAGGAGAAAGAAGAGAGGAAAGAAGGTTCCAGAAAGAGAGAGAAGGGAGTCGGAGCGGAGAGGAGCGAGACGGAAGAGAGAAGGAGACCGCGGACGGTGATAGCGCGGGAAGGAGAAAGAAGAGAGGAAAGAAGGTTCCAGAAAGAGAGAGAAGGGAGTCGGAGCGGAGAGGAGCGAGACGGAAGAGAGAAGGAGACCGCGGACGGTGATAGCGCGATCGGTAGGAGGAAGGAAGATGGAAATGGGAGGTACGGTAAAGATTCAATTTCATGTGTGGATTTAGGATTGGAATGCTGATGAGAGATTTGGTTTGGTTAGAGTTGTAGTGGTTATTTGTGAGTGCATATGGAGGTGGCGGTGTACGGAGGAGGCCGTGTAGGGAGTGAGTGTGTGGTGTGAGTGAGGTGTGTGAGAGAGAGCCGGTCTGTGTGAGCATCGCGGGAGGAGAGAGAAGGAGGATGGCGATGGGAGTGAGGTCCGAGAGAGAGGTATAGATGCGGAGTGAGCGGAGGCCGGGAGAGAGAAGGATTTGTGGTGTGAGTGAGGTGTGTGAGAGAGAGCCGGTGTGTGTGAGCATCGCGGGAGGAGAAAGAAGGAGGATGGTGGTGGGAGTGAGGTCCGAGAGAGAGGTATGGATGCGGAGTGAGTGGAGGCTGGGAGAGAGAAGGATTTGTGGTGTGAGTGAGGTGTGTGAGAGAGAGCCAGTCTGTATGAGCATCGCGGGAGGAGAGAGAAGGATTTGCGGTGTGAGTGAGGTCTATCAGGGAGAGGAGTATGATTGTTAGGGGCCTTGCAAGAGAGAGTAGGTTCGGGAAGCACCGAGGGAGGAGAGAGTAGGAGTACGTGGAGTGAGTGAAGTCGATAATGGAGTGCGTGTGCAGTGTGAGTGAGGTTCGTGAGGGAGAGGAGTGTGATTGCTGGGGCTTGGTGAGAGAGAGTAGGACCGGGTGAGCACTGAGGGGGAGAGAGAGAAGGAGTAGGCAGTGTGAGTGAAGTCTGTGATGGAGAGGGAATGCGGTGTGAGTGAGGTCCGTGAGGGGGAGGAGTGTGGTTGTTGAGATTGGTGAGAGAGAGCAGATTTGTGTGGGCATGCCTGTAGGAGACCCAGGAATGAGAGAGAAGGAGGAACGCGGTGTGAGTAGGAACACTTAGAGTATGCCGCAAGAAGAGGGAGAACGAGGAGTAGTGGGAGGTTGGAATTAGTGCAAGCAGAAGAAAGGAAACGGGGTTGGGAGTAGAGGTATGCTGGGAAATTAGAGAGTAGGAAAGGGAGACTTGTGGAGCGTGCATGGTGGGAATTACATATAGGTTGTCGTGCCTTAGTGGTCGGCAAGGAGAATTTGCGGTTGTGTGCATGTTAAATATTACTGGATACACTATAGGGGGAACGTCGACATTGGTGATTACGAGTAGAAAGAGTAGGTTGGCCACCGATAGTGGTGTTAGTCGGGAGATCCCGACGGACAGGGGGCTAGGCCGCTGATATTGGAGACGAGAGAGAATGATAACTGTGTGTGTGTGTGGCCAATTAGAGGTCGAGAGGTAGCTAATGGTCGCTGATGTTGGTGATGGGAGAGAATGATCATTGTGTGTGTGTGTATGGCCCGTTAGGGGTCGGTAGGTAGATGATGGTCGCCAATGTTGGTGACGAGAGTGAATGATAATGGTATGCGTCCGTGACCTGGTAGGGGTCGAGAGGCGGATGGTTGTCGCCGATTTTGGTGGTGGGTGACAATGTTGGTACGCTTGGGGTGGCGTTGAGGGATGGTCACCCTTGATAGGTATGATCGTTGAGATACCGGGGTAAGCTCTAGCCCTGAGTAGTCTCATGGTGATAGTAAGGTGGGGCTTGGGTTAAGTAATGAAATATTGGTAGAAGTATAGGGTTTTATATTGTTGCATCTCATACCTGTAACTTGATTCTTACTGTACTGAATTATATGGACTCACTCTTTATTCTTTACAGATGATGTAGGAACGGAATCCAGATCGAAGTTGTTGGTGTCCGAACCTAATGTATAGAACGACAGAATAAAGATTCTCCTTTCTTTTGACAGAATTGAGTGTGTAAAAGTTGATAGTAGTGTAGATAGTGAGTACGGTTGTATTGTATGCGATCTCTCGTGCATGATTATAGGTTTATCTTGACCTTGAATATGAGATCGTGATAGTATTTCTACGTGCATGACTGATTTGATTATAAAATTGTTTGTTTTAACTACGCCATTAAAAGTAAAAAGAGAAAAAAAAAAAAAAAAAGGGGGCTTTACAATACATGTTTGACAGTATGTCTATATGTGGTTTCCAACAAAAAACGAAGAACTTCTATTCTTTTAAAGCATGCCATACTTTCACAGTCATTTCTAACATTACTTCTATTTTCAACTTTCACGGGTATTTAATGTATAAAAATATCTAAAATCATAAAATAAAAGCTATAAAATATTTTCACCAACTGGAGCAAAGTATCTCACTCTTTCATCAATTTGAACTTATTAGAGAAAAAGCCCAGAAATGAATATCCAAGAACACATGCAAGCAATAGACTCCTCTTAATAAGACCGCCATAGTATTAAAGGTGTGCTTAAGTTTAGTTGAGGAAGAATACTGAACTCATTTCCAGTAATAAATCTTATTACCTTCAAAAACAAAGAAAGAACTTTGTGGAAAATCATGGACAGAAAACCTATACATCAACTTTAACCATGGGTCTACAATGAGACAGGGAATTGCAAAAGAAAAACGCGAATCACGAACTAAAACAATTCAGCTAAACTAAGACCTCTTCATACAAAATTGTTCCTTAAACATACAGACAAATTCAAATGAAAAGGTGAATAAAGGGAAAAGTGAAGAGCATATTACATTACCAGCTGACGCCGTGATCGTGGAGGAGGAGGATCCGAGTAAGCTCTCGAGTTGCGTTGAAGTCTGTCCAGTCGATTCTGGGCCGACCGTCCCGAGAGTAGAAAACGAAGGGCTTAAATGAAGGGTACAGAGACGCCAATTGAGCAAAATCAGGCGGCTTGTCGGAGTACTTATTTCTCGGGTGGATGGTGGGCCTATCTCGCACCTCGTTCCTTTTCCTCTTGTTCTTGCTTGGCATTTACGCAAAATTTCACTCAAAACCCAGAACCCTACTGAGTTTCTCCTTTCCGTTCAATTCAAGGTCGAAGACGAAGAGGAATGACGGGCGTCCGAATGCATAATGGGCATCCACGGAAACGCTGTCGTTTGGTCTACTTCCGGAGTATCATAATAAACCATGGCCGAAACGGAATGGATTTAAAAGCCTCAAAATTTGTTTCTGGTTGATTTTTTCAAGAGTAATTAATATAGGTAAAGTTTGATAACGTCATAAAATGAAAATTACTAAATTATATTATATTTAAAAAAATTATGTATTAATATATGATAATAGTACTTTTTTTATTTAAATTGATAGAATTGTATGTTTGTGTATTTAATTAAATTTTTAATTTATCTATATTTTATTATATGTAATATTAAATAAAAATATATAATAAAAAATTATTTAATTTATGATTAAATTATTTAATTTATAAAATTATTTAAAATATAATTTTTAATAATTTTTTTAAAAATAGTTATAAATTAAATTTAATATGAAAAATAAAAATATAATTTTTTATTATTTAATATAAAAAATAATTTGATACTATAAATTTTTATTTATAATTATAAATTAAAAAATTAACAAATTATTTATTTTATAATATTTAGTATTATAATTTTTATGACAAATAAACTAAATAAACAAATTTTATTAAGAATAATTTTCAATTTTGCTAAATTTGGTAAAGATAATACGAAGATTAATAAATAATTGTGAAAGTAAAACAGAAATAAAAAATTTTAGTCGTTAAAAACTATTAAATCGGTAGTTTAAAAAATTTTTAAAAATAAAAAAATAAACTACCATTATAAATCATTCAACTAACAATATTATGTATTTAAAAGGATTCAAACAAAACAAATCAGTGAATCAACATACTACACACTAATGATTTATCAATTAAATACATTGTAAATAGTTTCCGAGCCCATTCATATAAAAATGCGTCATTTTAATATTTTTTTCTTTGAGTTTTAATAATTGATTTTAAATGTCTTTCAATTTGACCATAAAAGATTAAAAATCAGTTTCAAATTAGCTTAATGTTTTAATATTTATGTATTATATTAAAATATATAACTTTAAAATAAAATTAATATTTAAAAAATTATTGTAGAGATGGTAGTTTAAGTTTGAAAATAATACATTGTCATTATTACTTCTCAAATAAATGTTATTTTTATTTTTATAAACTATTTTTATGTACAAATATATATGGAGATGAACATTACTCAATTCATATTAAAAAATTGAAGTAGACCTACAAGTTTGATCTAAATTTACCAAATTAAATAATGTTTAATATGATATTCAATATAAAAATATTTAGATCAAAATCTCGATTTCATATAAACTGATTAATATTTTTTAGTGTTAAAAATTAAAGTAATAAATTTATAAATAATATATATGTGGTATACATACTATGTCAATAAATTATTAAGTATATAAACAATATATCTATATTTTTTAATATTTAAAATTAAAATATTGATATATGTGAATAATATCTATTGTATTGCATGCATCATCAATATCAACACTATCAAATTTAAAATAAGTGAAAATGAAAATAAAAGTGATAAAAAAAAGGGGATTTTTTGTAATTGTCAATTCCATTTATTTTAAGCATTTGTTTATGTGAATTTTTGGATTCTTATTTTATACAATACAAACGTTGATGATATAAAATTGAAACTAGTCTATCAATGATCTAAACTCTTTTAACCTAAAAACGCTGTCGTTTTATAATGACCAATACTTTTAATTTAATACAGTGCTTTAAGATTATAGCACATGGCATAATCCATAAAAACAAAAACGCGCACCTCCAAACACGTATCATAGAATTAACTCTGCAGTCATGGCTGGAAACAGAAAGGGACCATTATAGAAGATTGAGCTGTAAGTCTATCCACAAGAACAGTGAGCTGACTCAGCATAGAACACAGCTCTCCCAAATGGATAAGCATTTCAAATCCATTTCAATCTTCTTCAACCCATGAACATATATATATACATACACGGTTTCTCCCCCTCTCTCTCTGTATATATACACACACTTACGGCTCACCCCTTTTCACATCCTTCACTCTGCAACTCTGACTCCGCGACTCACCTCTCAGATCTCCACAATCCAACTCACTCCCTCCAGCCCATACCACCACAAAACACAGTAGGATATGGCGTCGTCTTCTTCACTATACGAAGTCCTGGGGATTCCGACGAGCGCAAACTGCCATGAGATCAAAGTAGCTTACAGGAGACTAGCAAGACTGTGTCACCCAGATGTTGTTTCTGTAAATCAGAAGGAAACTTCAGCAACCCAGTTCAAGAAAATCCATGCGGCGTATTCGACGTTATCGGATCCTGACAAGCGCGCGGATTACGACAGGGATTTTTACAGAGTCAAGCGACGTTATGGGTCATCACTGTCATCACCGTCGTCTCTGTCAATGGCGGCTGCTGCTGCTGCTTGTTCTTCATCGTCCCTGTCTGGTTATAATTATACCTGCAGGAATTGGGAGACTGATCAGTGCTGGTAGTTTTTTTACCTTGTTGATTGGATTAGAAGAAATGGGATTTGCGTAAAAAATCTGTTCATGTATTTTTAGCAGCAGAAAACAGAGGAGATGAAGATTATAACTTATCAATGGTGGATTTGTGTAGATAAATTTGTAAATACAGGATCTTAACTTCTCCTGGTGAGTTGTAACTGGTTCTTTTAGTGATTCCATCAAAATCTGATTCATGCATTTTGATGAGTTTGTAGTAAAACTGCTCTTTTTTTCTTTTTTCAGTTTTAAGTGAAAAGGTTAATCCTTTTTTAGCTATTAAACTAATAAAAATTAATCTTAAATATTTATTTTACATAAACAAAGATTATATGTATAAAGATTTATTAATATAGTATAATATTAATATATGGATCATGTTAAATAAATTAATAGACTAGCCTCGTAAGATTATATGATTCAAGAATCTATATATGAGAAAACAAAAAAAAAAATCCAACCAATCAAAATAATGACTCGAGTTTCTACCAACTAACACTTTTAATTCTTGAGCTTTCATATCCATACAAAATAACTAATATAATATATATTTACAAAATATAAAAATTATCACATGGCATTTTTTCATTTTAAAAATAAATTTATTAATATATATTTTATAATATAATTTTATTTCTAATCACTTATTAAAAAAAATTAATCCATTTCATAATTTAATTACATTTTAATAAATTTTTCTTATATTTTAATTAAAAAAATTAATTGATTACTATCAAATTTTAAACATATAATAATTACATATAATTTTTTAATCAAAATAACAACATAGAATGTTTATTTGTTTAAAATTTTAAAATATAAATAGAAAATATAATATAATTTTTAGTTGACTATTAAAATATATAGTTATTTTATAGTTTTACTAAAAATTATTTAATTCTTATAAAATTATTATTTATATAAAATAGTATTTATATTATTTTTAAAATTATATTTTATTCATGGCATACGCTCACAATCTAATTTAATCTAAAAATTATTTTTTGATCAGGTTTTTTATCACTCAATTAATTAATCATCACAATTTTTAAAAAGTATATATTTAAAAATTTATCAAATTATAAAGTTTTAAATTTAATATAATTATAAATACATATTTAATTATATTTTTTTGTGTGAATATATTCTATTGTAATTGCCTTGACTATTTTCTTCTATGTGTAATCAAATTTTTGTTTGACTTTTTTACCTTACATGATTCTTAGGAGCTGTACATATCTCTTATCCATGATTTCAACATTTCCATGTAATTTTCACCCTTATTCTTATAAAATATTTAAATAAATAATATTGTTGATATCATTATTATTTTTTTTTTATGATAAGATTTTTGTTTTGAGTTGCAATAATGTGATATCACTTTAATTAAAAATAATTATATCATGACATTATTAAAAATTTTATAATATCAAACATAAAATTTTCCATCCAATAATTTTTTTTTATTGCTAACGCCACCTTTTTAATTATTAATAAATAAAACTTGTCGTATTGTTGTGTAATTTTCTTAAAATTGTCACATATTTTATTAATTAGACTAGTTACAGTATTAGTCATACTCAAAATATGTCACATGGTGTAAAGTCAAAAGTATATTCTATTTTAAATGCTAACATTTTTCGTTGAACCAAAAATTAATTAAAAATAATAATAATATTATTATTAAAATTAGTTATCCGAATATTAATTTATAATTAAAATTTAATTTTTGATTATTGTTTAACCAAGCATAAACATATAACCTCATATTTTGATGTTCTTAATTAAAGTTCACAGATTATCCCCTAAAAGATTATAGTATTTTCTCAAATTCAAATTTTAGTTTTTATTTTATTCTTTGGGACTCTTTACTGAAAAAAAAGCCAAATTTTATTTGCAACTTAGCCCACATATGTCGGGACATATTAGGAATTAGGATTGAAAACGTTACGACGCCGTTTCATAAAAGTATACAAATATTTTTTATACGGGTCAACTGGGGATAAGAATTTGTCAAACTCAATGACCATTGGAAATCCATGATTGAAAATCCAAACGGGACTCGACATTCTCGTGAAACTTGTTGAGGAGAGAACGTAGGTGTGAAGTTTGTGAAATGATTCGCTGAAAATATTTGCACCAAAAGTCTTGTCTGCGTGACGATGATGATCATGAGGCTGTTTTTTGTGAGACTTCATCATCACAGCTCTCGCTAAAATAGCAACAGTTATGCAATTAAGAAACACGGTTATACACAATATTACACGTACATATACAGTCAATTGTTGAAATATCATGCTGCTGCATGTACTGTACGTATATACCATCTACTTATATTATTATAGTCACCCAACGAGCATTAAATAGAATTATAACATTGAGGACAAAAAGATTCACAGAGATTTCAAAAAGTAATGGTTAGATGAGAAGTCAAAAAATCAAAGTTATATATGTGTATATATACACACACACACAAACGTCGTAATTTGAAAATCAATCAATCACTAATCAATTTTAAACATGATTAAATTAGATCGGGGACCAAAAATGTAATTACCGTGGACCAGACAACCTACTTTAACAGTACTCCAAAATTAAATGTTTCAACCACCACCTTGCCTAAAATTTGTACTGTTCCATTCCTATCAGACAAATCAACGGCCATATATTAATCATTCCTATCATTGCCTGTACATGTATATATATATATATAATATTCCACTCGTCATTCGAGCAAACCATTTGATTTTATAAGAACTGTTTTATTGATTAATTACTAATTAATTGGCAGTTCAAATTAATTTTCACGGCCTTGTGTATACATTCTAAATGTCACTAACTTGTTCATAAATATCAGAGGGCTGGAATTGCCTATAATGAGAATCAACAAAATTAAGATGCTTGTAATTAATTATTTACCTTTTAAAGTTGACAAATTGAATTAATTAAATGCAAATTAGCTAATTAAGGTTTAATGAAATTAATTAATTAATTAATCAATCAAGTTTTAATTGTGCTATTTGGTAGTTGGTACGTCTTAAATGCTTTCATTCAAATTGTGGCTAATATTTGTTCTTTATAATCTTGACTGATTAAAATAAATATTTTTATATATTTAATTTAATTTTGTAGTAATTAGTTTTTTACTAAATTAAAATAATAAATTTTACTAGTTTTTATTGAGTTAAAAATACATACCAAATAATTAAACAAAATTTTGATGCATAAATTTGTAAGTTGATTTATTTTCTCTATTGGTAAAATCAAATTTATTAGTTATGTTTGTTTTTCATTTCCAATTTTATTAATTATCAATCAAATTTAATAAACACTTAAATTTTATTTTCATGAATTATCTACCCATCATCAATTAAAATAATAATATAAAATTAAAATTATATTATATTAAACGGGGGCCATTCTCCAAATAGGCACGTGGGTAACATGCATTAATCCCAGTCGATGATATTACACCGTATGGCAAGTGGACGGAATGTGTATATCTACCTCAAGATATGCGCGTGGGGGTTAATCGGATTTCTGTTCTGAGAAGCCAATAATTTTTTGGATCAACCAATTCAACTCCTATATATAAAACAGAAAAAAAATTAAAAATGAAAAAACGGGTGATGTTTATTTATATTTTGTTTTAGTTCTGACACAAAAGTTGGAGAAAATCTCGTTTGACCATTACATTTTCTCTCCGTCCAACTCCCGTTTTCTGTCTCTCAAGAAACAGGCGGCGCCACCACCACTCCACCGTCATGTAAGCAGAAATTTCCCAGCGCCGCCTTGACCCAAAAGCCAAAAGAGAAAAAGAAAAGAAAAAATATACCCATTCCCATTTTTTTTTTCTCCTTTTTTTTGTTAATTATGTAATTACACTGGTAAAAAGATAAAAAAAGAAACCATGTTTCTTGGGGCATTCTTGATGAACAAGAAAAGAAAATAGTACAGAGCGGGAAAAGATTTTTTTTTTTTCTTTAAATTTGGTGATCATTTTCTTTAGCTCCTCGGTTTTTTTAATTTCTTTCATATAGAAAGGAAATATATATATATATATATATTTATATCTACGTTTTATTTCTCTCACTGTCTAATTTTCTCGAGAAAATCATCGTCGTTGTTCCTTCTTTTTTCTTTTTTGTTTTGGGGGGGTCACATTAATCCATTCTTCTTAAATCGGTGTTGCCGGTTGCTGTCTGCTGAAAAATCATGGCGGACATTGTGAAGCAGATCCTAGCAAGGCCGATTCAGATGGCGGACCAGGTCACCAAAGTCGCCGACGACGTGCACTCTTTCAAACAAGATTGTCAAGAGATCAAAGCCAAGACAGAGAAGCTCGCAGGTCTTCTCCGCCAGGCCGCGCGTGCAAGCAACGACCTCTACGAGCGGCCCACCCGCAGAATCATCGACGACACCGAGCAAGTCCTCGACAAGGCACTCACTCTCGTCGTCAAATGTCGAGCCAACGGACTCATGAAACGAGTTTTCACCATCATCCCCGCCGCAGCGTTTCGTAAAACATCCATGCAACTTGAAAACTCCATAGGCGACGTGTCTTGGTTATTACGAGTCTCGGCCTCTGCCGATGACCGAGACGATGAGTACTTGGGTCTCCCACCAATTGCTGCTAATGAACCAATTCTGTGTCTGATCTGGGAACAGATTGCAATACTCTGTACAGGGTCACTAGATGAAAGATCAGACGCCGCGGCTTCATTGGTTTCATTAGCTCGTGATAATGACCGGTATGGAAAACTAATTATAGAGGAAGGAGGGGTGCCGCCATTGTTGAAGTTAGCGAAAGAAGGAAGAATGGAAGGTCAGGAGAGTGCAGCGAATGCAATTGGGTTACTGGGTCGTGACCCAGAAAGCGTGGAGCAGATTGTGAATGCAGGGGTTTGTTCGGTGTTTGCGAAAATCCTTAAAGAAGGTCATATGAAAGTTCAGGCGGTCGTGGCTTGGGCCGTCTCGGAATTGGCCGGGAACCACCGTAAATGCCAAGATCATTTCGCCCAGAATAACATCATCCGGTTTCTCGTCAGTCATCTGGCTTTCGAGACTGTCCAAGAACACAGCAAATACGCTATTGCTAGCAAGCAAAACTTGTCGATTCACTCGGTGGTAATGGCGAATAGTAATGAAGAGAACAAGGAGAGTGAAAACTACGAAGATAAGCCGATTAATAACCAAATAAATCATCCTATGGGGAACCAAACGCCGAGCCAAATGCATAATGTGGTTACTAACACACTCGCCTTGAGAAACCAAACCACCACCCCCCCCACCACCACCGCCAGCAACCAGTCTAATAAGCCTCCTTCGCAGCCACAAACCAAAGGAAACAACCCAAATCATGCAAGACCCAATCAGCAGAACTTGAGACCAAACCAACCTCCTGTTTCCATATCAGGAACAAGCATTAAAGGCAGAGAATATGAAGATCCGGCTACAAAAGCTCATATGAAAACGATGGCTGCCCGAGCCCTTTGGCAACTTTGTAAAGGAAATGTCTCGATTTGCCGCAGCATAACCGAGTCCCGAGCGCTTCTCTGTTTCGCCGTGTTGTTAGAAAAAGGCCCAGACCATGTGAAGTCCTACTCTGCCATGGCGCTGATGGAAATCTCCATGGTCGCAGAGCAGAACGCTGATTTGCGACGGAATTCGTTCAAGCCAACTTCGCCCACCGCAAAAGCTGTCGTCGACCAGTTACTCAAAGTAATCCAAGAAGCAGATTCCGACCTCCTTATTCCCTGCATTAAAGCCATCGGCTGCCTCGCAAGAACATTTCGCGCCACGGAAACCAGGATCATTGCCCCATTGGTTGCCCTTCTCGACGAAAGAGAACCTGAGATATCAATAGAAGCCGCCATTGCTCTCAACAAGTTCGCATGCACAGACAATTTCCTCCACGACAATCACTCAAAAGCCATTATTGCCGCTGGGGGTGCTAAGTTCCTGATCCAGCTGGTGTACTTTGGCGAACAAATGCTTCAGATACCATCGTTAATCCTTCTCTGTTACATTTCGTTACATGTTCCTGACAGTGAGATTCTTGCACAAGAAGAGGTGTTGATAGTTCTCGAATGGTCGACGAAGCAAGCACATTTGGCTGAAGAACCCACCATAGAATCTTTGCTACCAGAGGCAAAAAGTAGATTGGAACTTTACCAGTCTAGAGGGAGAAGAGGCTTTCATTGATGAAAATTGTGATCTTGTCGTTAAACATTTTGGATTAAATTTTTGGCTTTTGTTCTTTGTCTTCTTCTTTGTTTCTATCAGTTTCTTTTCATGGGTATGAAATGTATATAAAATTAAACCTTGCTCCGTAACCGCAGTTGGGAAAATTAGATGTTTAGCAGTCATCAGTGGCTTGTGCAGTGGTAAACGATCGTTCTTTTTCATGTTCTTTCTTGTTAATGCTCTTGAATTGCTTGGGTGAATGCAGGAATATTGCCTAATGGAAATTTAATGCCGTCGAAACAAAAGCAAATACCTGATGTTCGCCATAGCCAATTGGTTTGGCCTGTGAAGTTCTAGACAGCGAAAACTGGCAAGGAAACTATCGCCAAATGCTTTGTTTGGATTCCAAGAAAATCAAATAGAAAAAAAAAAAAAAAAAAAAAAAACTTCCGGAGTAAAATCTGGAAGGCAAAAAACACAGACGATACCGGGAATCGTACCCGGGGTTCTAGGTAAATTGGCGGGAGTACTCGCCACTACTGCAAATTCAAATAAAATGTGTCATTCATAATTTTTTTACATATAGCTTATTTTGAATAAGATCCAAGTTTTGCCATTTCTAAAAAAAAAAAAAAAAAAAAAATCAAACGTAGTTGATGTGAAGAAAAATTATATTTTCAGCTCGACATAAATTTTATTGTTGACGAATTCAAATATATGAATATACGTATTTTAAATACTAAAAACTAAGAGTATTATATAATTCAAAACATCAAATATATGTATTTTTTTTTATTATACATGCATTTTTTTAACTAAAAATAAATACCTTTTTATAAGATCTCCATAATATCTTAGTTGCTTCAGTCAATATCAACAAATTACTTCACAATATTTAAAGAAGACAAAAAAATTATAATTTATTTGAAGATCTGTAAATTATAAAATTAGGTAACTTTAAATTTATTTACACTTACGTATAAACACGAAGAAAACAAGTAACTATAACCTTAGCAGTATCCATTTACTTGGCATTGATTCATTCTAGTGGGAAATATTTGAAGAATAATGTGTCATTTGACATAAATATGAGACACATGAATCCATAATTTGTTTACTAACCAACAATAACGGAAATGCCCTTTGAATATATGCAATAATTATAATTAGTGTTAGCCGTAAATAGTATAAGAAAAAAAAAATACAATCAATACAATAAAATTATAATTTAGCTAATCTAAAGAATAACTTGGTTATATTTTATTTATAACACCCACCTAAATTTTTTTTTATTAATAAATATAAATTTTTTTAATTATTTAATTTATTTTATTTTAATTTAATGAAAAAAATTGAGTAAATTGGTAAATGATTAAATTGAAAAATATTTTGGTAAAAACTGATAAAAATTTGGGTTCTTGGAGTATTTTTGAAAGAAAAATCAGAAATCGGAGGTTAAAACGTAATTTAAAAAAATTACACCATGTCAGACGCCCGGTCAGCAGTCCCGACCAACCAGGATGTGCTAAATGGCAGAGGCGCTGACGCAGGAGGCCACGCGGGGCGATTTACGTGCGCGCGATCAAACGGCTAAGGTCTGTTCCTGTGCGCACGGATGACCCAGAGTGAATCGCGCACGGACGACCCAGATTAGATCGCAATTAACAGTTCAGATTCATTTTCTATTTAATCAAATCGGACGGTTCAGATTAAAAGTGATGGACGACCTAGATCAAAAGCCTATGGGTATAAATAATCCCATCCGCACCTAAACCCTAACCCTAGTCGTCAGAACCCCTCGCCGGAGAAGATAACTCGGCTGTCGGGGAGTCGACCACTGCCCACCCGTCGTCACACCGAAACCCTTTTCGACCGCCAAAAAAGGTAAAAATTTCTCCTCTTGTACGAAATTCAATCTTAAACTGATTCATAGCCAAATCAGAGTGAAAGAACCAGCCAATTGGCTGAAAAACACCGACGAAGCCTGACGGCGCTGCCACGGAAAATTTCACAAATCGCCTCCGATGAGGCCCTTCCCAATTCTCGTTTCATATAACTTTTTCACCATTGTGATCACTGTTTTTTTCTCTACAGATTGACCGAAGCGAAAAACCCAACCGAATCGTGAGCCGGAGGAGCTGTCACACCAGAGAGCTCCGCCACTGATGAGTTTTAATTTTTCGTATTTTTTCGGCCTACCGAGACCCTTTAGCATGTGTGCTCGCAGGAATCGATATAAAATCGACCGAATTCGGCCAAAAACGGTCGACCCGAGGCGGACCGCCAACGCGAGCGGCGGCCACGCCGTGCTGGATTTTTAAAATTGGCCGAGTAGGTCCTGTAACTGATTTTGAATTTTTTTCGGATATTTGTAGGTACTATAAGTGCGTTTCAGTATCCGGAGGAAAATTCAGGGAACTCAAGGACTGCTTGTAGGCGCAGTAAACCATTTAGTTTTTTGGCGTCAAATTAAGTAAGGATCCATCACCCTATTCCCCATCATATAATTGAAGTTTAAATAAATAATAATACGGTATTTTGTACAAATTAAATATATGTGCATAATTAATTACGAATTGTTAATGAAGCATAATCCGAACATTATTCCCTATTGATTTCTGTTGATTTATTTTACAGTCTAAAAGCATGATGATATCTGGTTTATCTATTTTATAATTTAAATGCATGTATTACTGCCTTACTTGATCACTTTTTGATTTTGAGATTTGAGATATAATTGCATTACCGTATGCATGTTTATTATTTATGTGATTATATTTGATTTGGTAATGGAGACTAAGGGAAAACAGGAAGGGAGTATAATCAAATAAATAGATAGAATGACAGTCTTAGTAGATATCCTGTGAGATAGTGGATGGATCAGGTACATAGGGAACCCTACCGTGAATGTTGTCTCATACCGGATAAGGTATGGAGACTTGGTAATTTATCACTCATACCGGACGGGGTATGGGGACGACTCGCTTCACCCTTATACCTGACAGAGTATTGAGGTTTAATATCTTAGTGTTCATACCAGATGGGGTATTGGGACAACCCTGCTACCTCCGATGAGGCCCGTCCCGATTTCTACTCTGCGTAATTCTTCCACCATTGTAATCATCGTTTCCTTCTCTAAAGGTTGACCAAACCAAAACACCTAACCGCGAAGGTGAGCTGATAGAATCATTGTACCAGAGAACCCTCCCGCCAGTAAGTTTCGATTGTTCAATTTTTTTGTGCCAACCGAGACCCCTTAACATATTTTCTTACAGGGATTGATACAAAATTGGCCGAATTCGACCGAAAATAGATTCATCTGACATAGTGTGGCCCCTTGGGGTGTTGGAGTCCCATTTGCAAGAAAGAGAGATAGAGCGTCAAGGTTATATATTGACTACAGAGATCTGAACATGGTCCATATCAAGAACAAGTAACCCTTTCTCAGGATCGATGACATTTTTTATCAGTTGCAACGTGCCTAGGTCTTCTCAAAGAAGATCTGCGTTCTGATTAACATCATGTAAAGATCAGGGTAGAAAACATTCCCAAAATAATCTTTCGAACCAGGTACGGACACTATGAGTTCCTGGTCATGCCATTTGCACTAACCAATGCACCAGCCATGTTCTTGGATTTGATAAACATGATTTTCAGACAATTTCTGGATCAGTTCGTCATTATATTCATTAATGATATCTTGGTTTATTTCAAAAGCAGAGAGGAACACATTTACCATCTGACTCAGATTTTGCAGGTTCTTAGAGAGAATAAGTTGTATGCAAAGTTGAGTAAGTATGGGTTATGCCTTGAGCAAACTACCTTCCTAGGGCACATCAATTCAAATGATGGAGTGTCAGTGAACCCCAAAAAAGTAGAAGCGGTGCTCGGCTGGAATAAATTGACTTCGATCAAGGATATTTGTAGCTTTCTGGGGATGACAGTTATACCACAGGTGTGTTGATGAGTCTTCTAACGTAGCTGGTCATATGCCTCAGCTCACAAAGAAGAATGTCAAGTTTGAGTGGAACGAGAAGTGCGAAATAAGTTCATTAGAAATAAAAAAATAGTTGAGTATTGCACATGTGTTGGTCCTGCTGAGCGGATCGGGTGGATATATAGTTTATAATGATACCTACTACCCAATGTTGGATTGTGTTGTGATGCAGCATGAAAATGTCATAGCCTATGAGTCCAGGCAGTTGAATAGTCATGAGAAAAACTACCCCACCCATGACTTAAAACTTGCGGCAATTATCCACACATTTAAGACTTGGCGCCATTACTTGTATGGGGAGACCTTTCAGATATATACCGACCATAAGAGCTTGAAACACACATTCACTCAAAATGAACTCAACATGCGTCAGAGAAGATAGTTAGAACTTATCAAGAACTATGATACCAATATCTTATATCACTAGGATAAGGACAATGTGGTAGCCGACGCACTCAGTAGAAAAAGTACAGGTATATTATCTCACTTGATGATTTCAGAATGCAGGGTAATAGGGGCTGCATAACAAGTGTGACTTCAGGACTTGAAGAGAGTCACATGTTTGGTCTAACTAACCGTTCAACCCGAGTTAATATAGAGAATAAAGGAAACTCAGTTCGCCGATTCCACCCTAGCAACCCTCATGAAAGATGTAGAACAATAAGTTAATTCAGAATTCAGAGTCTCTGTATATGGGTTGCTTAGATTTTAGGACAATGTTTGTGTTATAAGTAGCAGTGAGTTGAAAAGGGATATCATTACAGAGGCTTATATCTCAAATTTTACCATGCATCTCGAAAGTAATAGGATGTATCAAAGTATGCGACCCCGATTTTTGTAGAACGGGTTGAAAAGAGATGTGATCGACTTTATTTTTAAGTATTTGGTATGTTTGCAGGTTGAAGCAGAGCATCAACGCCTAGGCGGACTACTTCAGCCATTACCAATTTCGGAGTGGAAGTGGGAATATATCACAATAAATTTTGTAACATGATTGCCTAAAGCACAATCAGGACATGATGCCATCTTGATAATTATTGACCGGCTTATCAAGTCTTCCCACTTCTTAGCCATTAGGATAACCGACCCCTTGAATAAGTTAGTAAAAATGTATATCTGGGAGATAGTCATATTACATATAATACT